GTCAACCAGGGAGAGGGGTCTAATATAAGCTATGCTTGTTCACTAATCCCTTTTTAAGATATAAATCTCAATAAAATATTTAAAAAAAAACCAGGCCATTTCATCAGATTTAGAAATTATATTCAAATACCAAATGTGAATATATATATATGGTCAAATCAAACATTTTCACATCAGAAATAATCATGATAGCAAATAAATCGTGTGTCAGATCAGGAGATCAAGAAAGTGATCTATCAGAGTTAGTTATAGTGTTACCTACCCTGACAGTCAGTAGTTATAGAGTTACCTACCCTGACAGTCAGTAGTTATAGAGTTACCTACCCTGACAGTCAGGCTGACTCCTAAAACTTGTGATACTCAATTTAACATGTGGAAATCTTTGATTCCCTATTTAATCTGAAAATAGACTCGCCTACTCAAGCCTGATCTCCCTATTAAGCCTGTAAACCTTAATTTAACTATACTACAGATCAGTCTTTTCATTGGTTACTATAAATAGCTAAACGATTTTAACTGTGAGCCAATGTACAGTCAATATTCTTATAGCAGTCGACTATTGTTTTTATTTTACAAATTCTGAAACAAACTGAATGTTTTACATATAGATTCTTGTTTCGATTTTGTGAAGTCAAAAAAACCCCCAAAAAACAAACCTAATGAAAATGAAGCTTATTAACATTGCCTATGTTCAAATTGACCCACAAGAAGACATATTTCTATTCTCAGTGATCAGCTGACCCACAAGAAGACATATTTCTATTCACACTGATAACTGATAACATTAGAATATATAATCATCTATATATAATATTTACATCACATTTATCAACATAATCACATTTTATATCACGGTTAGAATCCATACATACATTCATACACTGTCTTATATATCTGGACTCGATCCAAGCTGTAGTCCTTTGGATGGGACATAAAAACTGAGGTCCCTTGGACACATTGGTGTGCATGTAAAAGAACCCTTGACAGTTGGAATTTTGAAACAAGCCGATAGTGAGGCTGATGTCCCCCACCGAAATCCCAAAATAAATAGATGACACATATTAATTAATCGCACATTTAGTTTTTTCAAAAGTATCGAGTAATCAAACTATACACCAAGTTTTATCACACTCCATCAGTTATAATCAAAGTTATCTTGTCCCAAAGCATCGACTAATAAAATTGCTTAGTTCTGCTTAGCCTTAGCGGAAAATGTTAATTATTGAACTCGGCTCAAGGCATTCATCTAATGAACATCTACACCAAGATTGAACAGTTCTACATCAATTAGGAGAGTAATTGTGTTCCAAAGTCTCAACCAATCAAATTGCTTATCGCTCTTCTTACCCTCAGCAGAAAATGTTCATTATCGAACTTAGTCAAGGTATTGATGTAATGAAACTATACATCATGTTTCACCACTCCCAAAACATCAACCAATCAAATTGATTATCTCTGCTTACCCTAAGCTGAAATACCCATTTTTAAACTCCATCAAGTTATTGACCTAATAAACACCTACACCAAATTTGAACATTCTGGCTCAATTTGAAAGAGAGTTATTGTGTCCCAAAAAGTGTGACGGACACACAGACAGGCAGACGGGCTGACTCATTTTAATAGCCTCCTGATTTCTTTACAAGGCGGGGGACAAAAATACTGATACAGCATTGACTGGTTTTTAACTTCCCTTCTCATTCATAATTAATATTTCATTAATCAAGTATTTAACCTGCACACAAAATTAATAATTCATCATCACACATGATAATCAAATTAATCAGCACACATCATATATATTTGTACCTGCACACTCCATTAATTACTTAATCAATCACTTAATCAGCACACCTAATAAATCACTTAATTAGTACCTCATCAATCACTTAATCACCACACCCAATAAATCACTTAATTAGCACACCCAATAAATCACTTAATTAGAACCTCATCAATCACTTAATCAACACACACTAGTAATTACTTAATTAAACATTGTAAATAACTTAATCAGTGCAAACAACCAATTAATCATCACATACAGTTAATCAGCACACACTATACATCTTTTAATCAGTGCACACAATCAATCACATAATCAGCGCACACAGTAAATCATTTAATCAGCACACACAATCAAATAATCAGTGCACAACAATCAACCACTTAATTAGTGCACACAATAAACCACTTAATTAGCACACACTAAATCATTTAATCAGCACACACAATTAATCACTTAATTAGCACACAATAAATCATTTATATCAAATATATTAACAAGGCAACAGTTACACAAATCACAATTTATATTATGTCTAAGATGGGGGAAGGTGGTAGTGGGGTGTCCGTTTGAAGCATGGTAGGGTTGGGTTAGGGTTAGGGTCAGCAAGAGGTAAGTAAACCAAGGATTATTTGTAGTAGTTGGCGACAATCTGTCAATCAAAATATTTATTTCATACCTATTTCCTAATGACCTCAATTTGTAATGCAAAATACTAAGCGCACATCGTAACGATTTCATGGCACGGATTTCTCATTATCTGACTATCATTGGCTATAATCTGTCTAGAACGAAGAATTCCCTACTATCATTGGCTATAATCTGTCTTAATCGAGAATTCCCTATCGCCTTCATAGTGAAGTGGCAATGTTCATTAAAGCGTTTACCCCATACAATGATTGGCTTCCATCTAAAGTTTAAAGAAAGCGTTTGTTTACAGTCCATATCAACCCTGACAATCTGTAGAATCAATATTCCTTGATGTGCATGGGTCTTATTCAACAGCTGACCATTCTTGCTATAATAGTTCCAAAATAGATAATTTAAAATATTACTTTCTGATCCAGATTATCACTGTGGCAAATAGTGTTTGTTACTACAGCAATGTTACTTGTTAATTGAGACATAGTCACGTTTCTCCATTTGTAAATTAAATCATTAAATGGCGAACCATTATAATCTTGTTTAAATCTCTGCCATCCGACGGCCTAGAGAGTTGATTATAGACTTGTCGTGTGAATAAATGTTTAATTAATAATTTATATAACATCTGAAACCAGAATAAAAACCCGCAATAGGCAGATTTAGCTCTTGAATAATGCATTTTTAAAGATGAATTATGCAAGAGCTAAATCTGCCTATTGCAAGTCTTTCTTTAGGCCAGTATGTTATATGAATTATTAATTAGACATTTATCAACAAAACAAGACCATAATCAACTCTCGATGGCATCGGATACTCAAAATTTTAACAAGATTATAATGGTTCGCCATTTAAAAATTTAATTTAAAAATAGGAAAGCGAGGCTAAGTCTCAAATATACCATTGCCCTGGTTACCATTATGCACACATCTTGTCAAAACTGCAAACAGTGATATACTGTAGCTTGGCTCAGAATGAAGTAATTTGAATGAAATTTTCAATATTTTCATGATCTATTTTTGAACTATTATAGTAAGAATGGTCAGCTCTTTATCTAAATCTTACATAATGTATCTTTAATGTATAATATTTTATGAAAAGACCAAGAGCTAAAACTCATACTAGGATTTTATCCTACGATCAACAAAAAGGCTGCAACATTAAATTATTTTAGTTGATGTTTTCATGAATAAGCCCCAAAGCCTCTACCCTTCTAAATACAGTTGTCACTGAGAAAATAAAGTACTTGGTTATAATGGTAAGGAATGGGAGAGTGGAGGGGTAGACTTGATTATAATGGTATGGAATGGAAGAGTGGAGGGGTAGACTCTTCAACGGCACGAGGGTGAACACAGATAATAATATATAAAATAATATATCTATATGTTAAATATATAATACATTGAGTGGTCAAGTTTTAAATATTATTATACAGAATAGCCCATGAACAATCACCAGGTCTTCAGCTACATGCTGTAATACAACCCAGCCCAATCTCTTATCTCAGACAATACAGTTACAACTCGGGACGTTTCTCGATACTTCAATTTTGATTGGCTAAGCACTAAAATCAATCTAATATTATCCAATCAAATTACTAAAATTTGGATTTTTATCTTAGTTAAAATTTTGTGAAAGAGGCCCTGGGCTTTAACTACGAAATACTGCTTGCCCGTCAATTTTCTGACACAGTTTCTATAACTCGTATTAGCCAATTATTTTTTCCACAGAATAAGACGATGTTTAGGGATAATCCTAATTGTTTTCATATATCTGGAGGGATTTTACAGGTTCAACTCTTTGGAACATAAATTTCATGACATGTAACAAAAGAAAAATTTCTATTAAAAATTTGAAAGTCGACAGAGCGTAATAAAATCAATAATTTCATTGGGTGACGTAAACAAACAGCAGCACGTAGATGATGACATGATGTTATGGCCATGGTACTATATGGAATGATATACAGGACTGTGTTGCCTTGACGACCCTGGGAAGATGACTGTGTTCCCTTGACAACCCTGGGAAGATGACTGTGTGTAAGCCCAGGATCTCATCACATCTATTAAGCTTGTACTGTACTTTTAAATACTTCAATAATTGTCTTTAAAAATTATAAAATAAAAGAAAAAAAAAAGAAGCTATTCTGTAATGGCAAAATATACAATGACAATAATCAACAAAACAAAATAAATTAGTTCCTTTAAATATAGTTACATAATTTACTGTTTTTAAAATCAATAATTTTATCATTTGTCATCTTTCATGGATCATATTAAAATATCTTAATCAATATCTTAATCAATATCTCAATCAACATCTTAATCAATATCTTAATCAATATCTCAATCAACATCTTAATCAACATCTTTATCAATATCTCAATCAATATCTTAATCAACATCTTAATCAATATCTCAATCAATATCTTAATCAATATCTCAATCAATATCTTAATCAATATCTCAACCAATATCTTAATCAATATCTCAACCAATATCTTAATCAACATCTCAATCAATATCTTAATCAACATCTTAATATCTTAATCAATATCTTAATCAACATCTTAATCAATATCTTAATCAATATCTTAATCAATATCTTAATCAATATCTAAAAGCAAGTTTTTACTCAGCTTTTACAGTCATAATTCAAACAGGGTTTCTGTAGATTATAAATAAAACCCCACATTGAAGTCCACTTTAATAAACTCACAGATCACACTCAAATGTGGAATGAGATCACCTTGAGTCTGGTTTTAATGTTAGTTGAATATATTTTGTTTTTATTTACAATATAAATATACAATAACAATTATAGCATATATAGGTATATAATATATATATTGTTACTATAAATAAATGTGGTATACGAACGATATAGGTTTATACCCTTTTGTAGGTTACTCGAATATCTCTACAATAAATTACGCAGATAAACATTTTACACATTCATAAAAAAATACAACAACATACAGGGATGTAAAGGAACAACAAACTTGATGAAATTCAGTTAGCAGTGGGAGGAAACCGGAGGACACGGAGAAAACGCACGAGGTTGGACAGGCGATTGCCCATAATCAACTTCTTGTTTTGAAAAACCACTAAAACAATATGAACATCAAATAGTTTGAATATTTCTGTAACATACCTGTAACAAAACTAATCCAGGTATTTCATTCATTCATACTATCTTTCATCTAGGTATTTCATTCATTCATACTATCTATCATTCATACAATGTGTAATGTGCATGGGGTATGGTGCATGTGTATATGCATGTGTTAATGCATGTGCATGGTGAATTATATGATTTGTATTGAGATTATATATAGTTTGAATGAAACTAATAATAATAATAATAATAATAATACTATGTTTATAATGCAATATATGATAAAATACTGTGAAGATGATATTATAGGTTAATAGAGATATTTTCTATAAATCAGGTTTTTTTCTATAAATTAACAGAAATCTGTTCATATAGATTTTATCTAATCATAAACGTCCCCAACATTAAACAAATCTTGTTTCACATCCTCATGTTATTTCTACAAAATGTTCGGAATTTCTCTTTCTTTCTTCTTGTAATTCTCTGTTCTGAGAAGTTTGATATTTTTCTGTGATTGTCGTTTTGTTTTGTTCATGTTATTTCTCGTAATAGATAAAGCTGATGTATTCTGGGTAATGAATAGTATACACCAATCAGATAAGATCATGAAAATATTCTCAATATTAGTCATGATCAATCAGACCCTTTGTTCAACTATACAACCGTCTGGGTATCTCAGACTACTATCCAAAATGGCATCCTCCTGTATACATCCAGCAGCTATCAAATCTTGGGCAATATACTCGTCCACGATCTTGTAAAGGATATTCTCTACCTTATATACAAACTACCTTAGTAACTCACATTCTTCACATAATGTTTCTTCATAAACTACCTTATTAACTCACATTCCTCACTTGATGTTCCTTCAAAAACTACCTTATTAACTCACATTCCTCACTTAAAGTTCCTTCAAAAGCTACTTTATTAACTCACAGTCCTCACTTAATGTTTCTTCAAAAACAACCTTAGTAACACACATTCCTCAATTAATGTTTCTTCAAAAACTAATAATTTCGTTTTTAAACACAATTTGTTCCGTGATCACATAATATAACTAGTTTAACAATCTCAAATACCAAATAAATCCCAAATGTTCTTCAATAAATTTGAGCGATATTCTTTTGTTGATCTGAATTTCACAGAAACTATTATATAACATGTTCGTCCTAGTTGAGAAATATTTCAACCAATCACAGAGTCTGTTGAATGTATTATTAAGATGGATTCTTTAATATTCGATGTTGTCTAAAATCATAAACTTGCCGACATATAAAGACATTATCTGGATTGACGTCTGGTGGAGGCATACGCTGCCTCTTGGTCGAGTTTTCCTCTAATTTTGGCACTACATTTTGTCGTGGAGGCAAGTTTGATTCAATTCTACGTTGTTCAGCTTTGTATCTGAAGAAATATAAATAATCAATTTTAAACTCATTTTGGCAAACTGAACATATTTATTTCCAAATGGACAGTCTGATAGGAAATGTGTCTAGTATCTTTAAAGGACATTTAGTGAAATATAATAACAATGAGCATTATAGATAACAATGATTAGGTTTTTTAACCGCAACGTTTCAATGGGGTTACTCTCACTGTTATTAAACAATGATACAATCAAACATGTTACACAAGGTTATAAACAAACAGGTAATAATAAGTTAATTAACAATTAAAAGTAATATGCTTGATAACGGTAACATCATGGATATATTGCAGTTAATAAACCTAGTGAATATTATCCATAAACATGTCTAGTCGCTCGGATGGGAAGAAAAACCCAAGACCGGTAAAACAACCGTCAACAATTGTAATTTGATGAAGAGTATGTTCTTCTGATTGGTGCAGCAATGTGGTACGTTATTTTCAGTATATCACATGATCTATTTATTAATATCAAGATCAGGGTGCGACCACCGCAGACCAGTTGACTCCAAAGTGTAATTACCTCTTTAATATAACAATGAACCAAGCACATCATATTGAAAGGGTCAAATGAAACCCTTGTCGAACAGTATGGGCTCTCTCCTTAACCAAGGGAGATAACTTTGAACTTACCTGCAATATTCATTATATGTAAGTACATAGCCTTTATCATCTATACAAGCTAAACTGTTCTCATCACGATGTTTACATGCGAATAACTCGTTATCTAACTGGCCTGGTTTTCGACCAGCTTCCGTATGTTCTGGTCGATAATACCACAGTAATGACATCATCAATTCACCTGTAATAATAACCATATATATATTTATATCTTGATAGGTGATTATTTGGACGGATGTTTCACAAGATTATTATCATGTCTGGCCACGTTGTTTTGATGTATCAAATACATCCAATAAGAAACTATGTGCAAAGTTTTGTGGTTGTGGATGAAAGATATTTCTCATAAACAGTGATTGAAAGTTGAGTAAAGTGGGTCGATTCTAAACTGTAATAAATTATAATCTTTGCAACAATCTTTTGATGGGCATCTTTTTAATCTACATGTATATGAATCCAAGCAGATGGATATCTACCATTAATATTTGATTTTGTTTTCTGAATTGAATTTTAAACAATCAATTTTAGTGTAGATAACTTCCGAAAATATGCAACCGACACATACATGTAGAGACAGGGGGGGGGGGGGGGGGTCTAGTGGTTTAACGTGTGTGCGTGAAATCACAAGGTCTGTCATTGAGTCAAGTGACATCGTTTCGATCTCCCGCTTGTACGTGACAAAGAGTAGGGTCACCTATCTAATCTTGTGGATTTTCTCCGGTTTCCTCCAACTGCTAAAGTCCCCTAAAGTCCCCTAAACACAAGCGAATTATTGAAATAAAATTAAACCATACATTAGATCTAGTTTGTGTGGATTGGATGTTAAACCCCATCTCTCACTCTCTCGGTATAAGACTTATAAATTCCACTCACCATCTTCAGGGTTTTCCCACAATGCACTAACTTTAGCTACAAATGGAATATCTTTTTTACGAGGCCCCGATCGTAGTAAAACACAGTCTCGTATATTTATAATATCTCCATCAATATGTTTCATGGCAGGGAAACATTTACGTTCTCTCACCGGTCCTTCCACCTGAAAATACAACCAATATCTCTATATTTTACTCTATATTTTATCTGAACCTGGGACATTCGGAACTCATGCCCTCATTTTCTTTCTACAGATCAATAAATTTTTTCCTCCGTCTCAAACTTTTGAAACCATACCAAGTCATTTCTCAGTGAGTACCAGAATAAACAATATCACAAATACTATATATCTTTATAAAAGTTTTGTGTAGAAAACCATTTTGTACGACATTATTATTACACGAACACTAGATACACAGTCTATTACTGTACATTTGTTCTCATTTAGTCATACCATAGCCTGTATTACTTCAGATTTTACCACAGTTTGGTCTTTTTCGGGGTTAATTTTGAGCCCTGAAAAAAGCTACCCTTAATCAACAACCTGAAATAATCCCCTAAAAAGCTCTCCCAGTTTCGATAAGAAGAGTGATTTAGAAATTAAGGAGAATGATTTAGAAATTAAGGAGAGCGATCTGATATTAAGGAGAGTGATTAGTTAAGTGTATGGGAAATGGTTCTGAAGATCAATAACTTCATGGTTTCATTAATAATAATAAACCCCCCCATGACTTTGTAAAGGGGCTATTTTCAATTTTAAGGGAGGGAGAAAAAAACCCATCGGTCGACTCTCGAGAGTGATCGCTTGCCTTAAAAACACAATGACCTGGACTGTTAAAGGAATGGGAGCTTAATTAGCCTATTTCCCGATCGGGTTGTTTCAAACAGAGACTGAAATACTTACAACATTGGGTATTTTTTTCAATTCTGGTTGGCCGCACTGAGACCAGCCATGAGCAGGAATGATCAACTTCTCCGGGACTTTCACCGTTTTTACTATTTTCTTCTCTGGTTCTTCTTTACTTGGGCTTTTACTCCTCTTCCGTTCGTATTTACGTTTGAGTTTTAATTGATCCAGTTTTTGTTTTTCGCTGGTTTTATTCTTTGTCTCTGACGAACATCGACGTTTGGGTACTGGTTCTTGAGCAAGGTCGTCATCTTTGCTGCCTTTAACTGTGGAGTTCGTGAAGGCACAATGATCGTGGCTTGAATCGGGATTGTGTACTAAGACTTTGACCTGTGCCTGTGGAACTTGGATAGGAACGTGGTGGGAGACGATACATGGATCGGGTTGAAGAACGGGACCTGTGGTTGGTTGATAATAACTATTGCCATAGTAACCTGAAATAAAGAAACATATCAGATATTAAAATCTTCGTTTTCACTCTGTCATTTATTAACATTCAAGGCCTTGGAATCCATTGGTCTTATTAAGATTGCATCAGAAGGTATAGAAATCGTTAAAATTCTCCAATTTTTACGAGAAGCCACCATAAGATTATTCTTGAAAACAAGCAATCACTTAAAGGGGCATTAGATTAGATAAAGAGCTGAGAGTTTTCACTTTGATAGTTAATAAATAGATAATGTAAAGAGAATATGCTGAAAATTTCAATCAAATTGCTTCACTCTGAATCGAGATATCAGCGATTCAATTTTAGACTAGCCTCTATCATCATTTCTACCGTTGGTTTTATAATAAACAAAGTCTCGATTATCTATTTTTATGTTAAATTATCCATCACAAAATGTATTCAAATCCACTAAATCAAACGATGGCATGTTTAATCAAAGACTATATCTACCAAAGTTTTAAAGATGGGGTCTACCAATAGCCAATTTCTCTACTAGAATGTTCCAGTTTCCAACCCCAGTGTGGGTCCGGAAGAAATTTGCGATTTTTCAAGTTTGATTTCCATTGTAAGGGCTAGCCCCCACAGGAAAGTGCTGAGAAGTCATACGAAAGAATGAAGTCTGGTAAAAGAAAACTCGACAGTTTGAATTGGTGCTGTCCAGGCAAAAATCTACTCCCCTACCATTGCACACGATTTTACTTGCATTTGAGAAGCTGTAAGTCACAAAGATTTAGAAGACAAAAAAGCAAAAGTTTGGAATGTTCGCGTATTTTGAACTAAGTCGTAATTGATTGAGCGTGTTAATATTAAATACTGTGAGGTATATAAATACTTACCATAATGAGGAACTGCCATACCGGTATGATTATATGGAACAGAGAAAGCACTTCTATAAGGATGTCCTGGGTGACCGTATGTCATCATCTGTAAACTACTAAGACTATTGAGGGGTCCAAGTTGAAATGATTTGAATTGTGACGATGATATGGAGTTACAGCAGACAGAACATGGTGGTATGCATGAATGACTCTGAGAGAAGAACGACCCCATACATTGTGTTGGAGGTTGTAAGAAGGGATTCGACGCCACATGGGTCGTAACGTCAACCACACTAGCAGGTCTCTCTTCAATAATCTCACTTTCTGGCAGGGTAATGGCGGGCAGTTTTGATTCCTCCGAGATGGAATCTGATTTTGTTGCCGTTGTAAAACAAGTACTTGTCTGTGTAACGCAACACGTCTTGCCTAAACCATCGACCCAGTGGGCGGCAGACGACACTTTAGTTGCTAACGGTTCACACTGCCATGACACACAATAACGATCAATCCTTGCTGCTCGCTCTGATGGCTCCGCTTCGAACTCCTTAGTGGCGGCCATTATTGCTTGAGCATTTAAACTAGCGATTCTACGAACACATCCCTGAATCGGCACAACTGCTTTCTCCTTTTTCTTCGCGTTTGAGTTATCTTTCACCTTTTTAATCTCCTTATTTGTGTTTTTATCTTTTGCAGATTTCGATTTTGTGTCTTTTTGAGATTTCTTTTTTTCATCATCTTTCCCGACATTTTTTTTAGTCTTTTCACTTTTGTCCTTTTTGCCGTCACTTGTGGAATTTTTCTTTTCAGTAGCGATAGAGTTTGATTTTATATCTTTCATGGGTTCACTCTTTCCATGATTTGTGGTCGGTTCACATTTGGTTTTAGGAGAAGTCGGCAATTTTTCAAACATAATATTGACACGAGCAGAAGCATTTAAGCTAGCTTCACGCTTCATACGAACTAACGAAAAAATATCGAGTAGAGAATTAGTCATTATATCGGCTTTTAATTTCTTTTTATCAGCCATCTTCTTTTGTTTCTGCTTTATTTTTTGAGTTGGCGAAATTTTGGAAGACTTTTTTGTATCTTTTTTCTTTATTTGTTTTTCAGTTTTTGTATTTTCAATTTTGCGTACTTTTGTCTTCGTCTCAGTTTTAGTTTTTGTTTTTTCATCATTTTGATTCAGTTTTCGTTTTTTTCCCTTATTGATGTTTTCCAAATTTGACGCCTTACATTTATCTCCCATGTTTTCCGTTAATTTTGGCTTAACTCCCTTGTTTGCCGTTAATTTTGGTTTACTATCCTTGTTATCAGACGGCTTTGACTTCTTGACTTTCTCCGACTGCTTTCTCTTCTCTCCAACGGTGTTTTGTAAAAGTTTCAATTTATCTTTCTTCAATAATTTTGGCTTACAGTCTTTACTTCCTGGTTTTTGGGACTCGTCTCCCTTTGATGGAGTAACGAAAGAGTTGTCTTTCTTGATTTTGGGAGCCTTGACTTTTTCAGTTTTGTTTTTCTTGTCTGCAGCATCCTTCTTTGGTTTAGGAGGCGTCGTCGTCTTGTCTTTTGTTTTCGGGGAATTTTTGTTTATTTTCTTTGCACCAGTACTGGTAGTTGTTTTCTGTCCATCTTTCTTTCTTATTTTCATTCCATCGGAGTTGTCTTTCTTGATTTTAGTTGAGACACATGGCTTCGGTAGCTTTGCTTTCCCACCCACCATTGGATAATCTAAAGTACGTTTAAGATGGATCTCTGGTATCGGAAAATTATAATTATACGTGGCTAACGAAATAGTTTCCTTATTTGTGTGTATTTTGGGATTGATGACCAAACCTTTCGACGAGGAAGGGTGTGAAATCTTACTAGTTGAAGGGGCTGAACTTTTGGCTATCGAAGGCGACGGCAAAGATCCCTTAGAAGATGGAGAGGTTGAAGTTACAGCATTACCTCCCTTCTTTTTTTTATTTTCCAGATAAATTGCCAGAACAGACTGATAGATTGGAATTGTTTCACTGTAAGTAACAACTTTGCTTGTACGTGATCCTATACTGTGCGACTGTTTGTAACCCTTGGTTACCTGAAAATATAGGAAATAAAACTTTAATTAAATCACAAAATTTGAAAATATAATGTCATTCTATTTTATATCTGAATAGGCACAGCGGTAAAAGCCTCCTTTATTCAGGCCCCGAGTTCACAAAGCATTCTCAGGCTTTAGTTCAGAATTTACTCAACTTTCAATCACTGTTTATGAGAAATATCTTAGATCCAGAAACACAAAACTTTGCACATAGTTTCTTATTGATGTATTTGATACATTAAAACAATAAAAGTTTTACAAAGGACTATATTTTAGTTAAAATAAGATGAGCAATTCTGAGTAATTTCTTGACTTAAGTCTGAGAATGCTTTGTGAACTTTGGGCCAGTTCTCTTCCGCTTGACGAATCGAAAGTCCCAGTTTGATTCCTGGTTAAAGATGCATGATGTAAGACTTGGATAAAGAGCCGACAGTTCTTGATAGATTAATTAGTTTGAATATGTTTTTAGTCCAAACATATCATCAAATCACATAGTTGGCACGCGGGGGAAGTAACTTTAATGGTATATAGATAATTGACACTGCGGTAATTTGTCCAATCGACAAGACTAGACATCTTGTCAGCCCATCCATAATTCACTATTGACAACGGGGAGAGAGAGAAATGCGGTTTAACGTCCACTCGACACAAACTAGGTCATTTCGGGACTAACACATGGCTCAATTTTATTTCAATAATTCGCTTGTGCGTAGAAGTCTTTAGCAGTGAGAAGAAACCGGAAGACCAAGAGAAAACCCACAAGGTTGGACAGACGACCCTACTCCTTGTCACATACAACCGAGGAATTGAAACCATGCCATCAGACCCCCCTCATTGACATAGGGAAACCTGTGTGAAAAATACTGCAGAACTTTCTCAGACAACATTGGGATCTAACCAAGGCCCTCCTGTTTAGTGAGCTAGCGCCTTAATCACTGAGACACCATGTTTCCGTCGTCATAGTAATAAACAAAAACACAGACAACACGACTCACAAAATATGTCATAAAAATAATATATAAATCAAATATGTCCATTCGGATGAAATCCAAGGTTTTAATCCAGATATGAAAATAACCCATTTCTCGATTAAAAGATAGAAAAAAAGACTTTCAGCCAGTGCCCTGGCAAAACCTTTCAATCCAACACACCCCAAGGCAAAAAGCTGCCTCTAATACCACTGCCATGATTTTTTGGTTGAAATCTATTAAATTTTTAGAAACAATTTATTACTTTTTGTATGACACAAGGGGAAATTGAGGCATATTTTATCTTATATATTCAATGTTTTGATGTTCCTTGTGTTAACCAATATCTGAATAGAGTCCTAACACTAAACCTAACCCATTGATTTGATGTGCCGTGTGTTAACCAATATCTGTATAGAGTCTACAGACATTAGATTTGGAGAATTTATCTGACACTACACTATAATAAAAAGAAACAACATTTCTCAAATTGATTATTTAACATCTTTATTATCAAAATAAAATCAAACTGTTAACAGGACATAATCAGGCTTGGATTCTCGCCTGTTTGCTGAAAGTTGAGAAAGTTTCAATTCATCATATCTTTGTAAATTATACTGAACGGAATTGAATCATTTTAGCCTAATATTACTTTTAGAGTTTTAAATTTCATAATATTGTAGTTTGTATACGATTCAAAACTCCTCAAAAGCAACTGTCGCCTAATATTTAATATAAGAAGTTTCCTTGATAATTTTTATGATGTTAAAAATAAATTCACTGTTTTTCTATAATTCTACTTCATGAATAACAAAAGCGACAAAGTCATTATTTTTTTTTTTTTTTTTCAATAAGATTCCAATCCAATTAAAACTTCCTTAGAATTCTGTCAAAATAAAATATTTTCTAGAAGTACAAGAAACTCTCAATTATAGTCAAAGAATATTAATCATCTTAAAAGTTAATTTCCAGATAATTTATAAAAATCTACAATTATTCTTTTTAAATTGCATTAACTAACAATAGTAACAAATTTAATTTTTTTTATTGAAAAAGTATTAACTAATATAAGCTTATATCATGAAAAATGTTCTTGTCTACAATTTTTCGACGTCCATCGATGTGAGATTTACACAGCGCCTGCGGGAATTCTCTAATAAACAGGTAAAAATATTCCCGCAGATTCCCCGACTATGCAGAAAAAATAAATTAAGAAAAATGTATACCATATAACGTATTAACATTTACCTGGCTGACCAGGAAAAATACTTATTTTAATGCCGATTTCTAAAAATTTGCTGTAGATTTGAAAATTATTTCATAAAATTATAAAATCTGCCGACTTGTCGAAATAAATTTACAAATTTCACAGAAAATGTATACAGTTGTTCTGTAAATTGTTAAATCATGCAAACCACGTTATAAATTCAAGCCATTTTATGATTTTGAACGAAAGATGAAGTATTCATGATTATAAATATCTAGGTATCTATACCTTCTGTCGTTTGGTTTTGCTGCCATGGGAGTTTTTTGAGCGTCGTTTCGCTGAATTTTGTCCCGTATCGGCAGCCATCTTTTAATCTTCACTGACGTGCCGTAAACTTCAGGTCCGCTAGAGGGCGCTGTTCAAGTATAACGGTATTGCACGCGCTGAGGTATATTGAGCTTATAACGCCCAGTTGGAACATACGGTTCTTTTCGGCACGTGCAAGTTATTAGGTAGATAAACATGAGCTAAGGGAGTGGACATCGCAACCAAAGGTTAATACGATCGTTCGAGATAGATTAAAACGTCTATTTTGTTCTGAATATGAAGAATATACGTGGGTGATCGATTATACCGAATGTCTGGCTATTGTTTAGTCTATTTGCTTTTCTAGCGATTAGCGAAATAAATTTTATTGATATAATATTATAAACCCATAAATCAAATTATGCCCCGGCCTATAAATTTTTTATTTAATATGCAGGTCATGTTTGGTATAAATAATAGCTAAAACAACATCTAGGCAATGTACACATTAGTGGGCACGTAAAAGAGCCACTGACAGTCGAAGCAGAAAAGTAGGACGGGCAAAATATTCCTCATAGCATACTATGGCATATGCCCGTCTTCGCCCACTCGGTGGAGGATGTTAAACCCCATTTCATTTTATCTCACGAAGTACCAACAATTACACTGAGTACCTTTTATCTGCACCACTTTCACAGAGAGAGAGAGAGAGAGAGAGATGGGGTTAAACGTCCACTCGACACAAACTCGGGACTAACATATGGTTCAATTTTATTTCAATAATTCGCTTACGCGTAGAGGTCTTTAGCAATAGGACGAAACCGGAGGACCCGAAGAAAACCCACGAGGTTGGACAGGCGACCCTAGTCCTTGTCACGGCAGCCGGGCAATCGAAACCACGCCAATTTACTCAATGACAGACCTTATGATGCAGCGTGCACGCGCTACCCCCCCCCCCCCCCCCATCACCTTCACAAGTTTAACAGTCAAAATCTGAATGGAAAGATAACTCCGCCAAACGCGTTCAAAAATTAAGTTATCTTATCAAGTTTGAAAAAGGTTTTTCCAAGAACTCTGTTCTTTACTTTCATGCACAAAATGTCGTAAATTTCGATAAATGAACAGTGCCGCCAGGTTTTCCCACATTTCCTCGAGAACTCTGACAAGGTTTAATAGTCAAAATATGATTGGAAATATAAAACATCTTTGGTTAACTGTGTAATGTCGGTGGGTGCGATGACCAAGAAGCAGACTTTTCGAAAGCTCGTCTTTGAACTCCAACCATACTTCCATAACCTTGATATGATGATTATTTACCTATGGGTTAGGGGATATCCATTTTGCTCGGACAGCGACTTTTCTGTGATTTACAACCCATGACTGACTAAAACTCTGACCTCCCAATGCGCGGCCCGGTAAGTGTGACACTGGATCACTAACTGACATGTCGCGATTTCCGCCCATATATTGACCGGAATTTTTCAGCCCGGGAGAGAGAGAGAGAGAGAGGGAGAGAGGGAGAGAGATTTTAACGTCCACTCAACACAACTTAGGTTATTTCGGGACTAAAAACCGGAGGTCCCAGAGAAAACACACGAAGTTAGACAGGCGACCCTACTCCTTGCCATTACAACCGGGAAATCGAAACCACGCCACAATGACAGACCTTACCACCCAACCCCACTATGTAGAGAAGGGAACATCAACATGTTACTAATCGGTGTATTGGACTGAGTTTGTCAATATAGTAGAATTATACAGCTGTATTGTAAGGCGATGAAGTGGGGGAATAAATATAACCCGTATCGACAATACAACAAAAATCAATAACGTACTCCACAGACCTATACAATACAACAACTTTAAATAACACTCGGTATTACTAGTATAACCTAGTCAACGTGGTCTTCAACAACCAGACTACAATCATGGTTAGTTTCAATGGCCAGCTCGGTCCTGCTTAACGCACAGGCACGATACAAAAACTTTAAATACATTACCGTTATAGCTCATACATCTCTCATTGTGATCGTGAGAAAGTCAAAGATGACGAAAGACCGGGAAGTAATTTAAAGTCCGGTTCCGAGGTTTCTTCGTCAAATGGGTAACGAACGGCCCACACTATGCGGTACAAAAACTTGAAATCCATTATCGCCACAGGGCCCTCACAAGCCTATGTGACGCCCCAGGGCAATTGTTTCCGTGCCCCCTCTCTGTGCATACTGTAACCGTATGTTCAGTGCCTGAGCTCAGCTGATTTTTTACACTTTCAACATTTTATCTAAATAACTACTGTATTTATTAAATCAACTTATATGTAAAATGTTTATGTTTATTTCCCCTCCAACCCTCCATTTGATCGAAAAACCCTTGGAAAAAAACACAATTCTACCCTCCCTATTTGCTGAAATTGTGATTTAGGGGAAGCGAAGGCCGGTGATTTGCTTTCTCAGCCCATAAATATTCAAAGTGGTATGCACTTTGCCGCCCCCCCCCCCCGCCCCAAGAAGTGTCGCCCCTGAATATATGCCCCCCCCCCCTCTCAGTCTCCCGCCCCGTCCCCTCAGTCTCCTCTATATGGGGGCGAAAGCCAGCGAAGACATGATGGTTATTCGAATGACCCATAATGGCCGGGAAGTAATATTCAGCCCGGTTCGGATTTTCACCATTCTGTTTATCGAACGGTGAGCGGGGAATATATTGAATTGGTCTATAAAAACATGTCAATACAAAAACCTTAAATACCAGTAAAAGCCATACAACGTCATGATCGTTATTCGAATAACCCAAAGTTGACGAATGATCTGTGGTACTCTCATGGCTTGTCTATATAGGCCTTTACAAAATAAAACTGTAAATACACCGATATCCTATATACCATAACGTAATGCATCACGAGCGACGTGGTGTAAAACTCACAGTCGATACTTCAGGAACATGGGGGGTTTTTTCAGGTTCGCTCCCGTTCCTCGTAAATTTTCTCCGGGTCCTCTGGTTTCCTCCCACTGCTAAAGAACCCTACGCGCTAGCCAATTATTGAAATAAAATTAAACCATAATATGTTAGTCCCGAAATGACCTAGTTTGTGTTAATTGGGCGTTAAACTCCATTTCTCTCTCTCTCTCCCACTCCCGGTGTTGGCCGAAAAATTTCCTCGCGATTTTCTGGCGGAAGGCCTGACAAGGACAGCTGTCTAGTATTTCGGATAGCACGAAAAACCTAGGTCCCGTGTAACATTGCCATGCTGTAATTCTGAGCACAACCATAATCTTCCCGACACGTATATATTTTCACACGATAGTTTCGTAGGGATATTTATCTCGTCTGAGAACGATACAACCCAGACCGTTGCAATCAATGATTTTAAACACCTCCCCGCGGTTATCTTAAATTACCTAAAAGTCACTTGAATGATATAGACGAATCTCTAAAATGAATATTCGTCCAAAAACGGTTGAATTCTGTACTGACAAAGACATGATGAATTAAAAATATGTCAAAATTGAGCATCGTGTGCAGATGACATATAATAAAGGATATAATCCAAACCAGTTAGCGTTGGCTAATATATCTTGACGGGTGTCTTTTTAATCCAGTTGAATCGGGTGAATGTCTACCGTTGATATTTTCATTTAGCTTTTCTTAATATAATATTAAATAATCAACACGCCAGAGACTTTAACAAAAATACTACCTTGTTAGTCCCAGGATGATGAGACACGTTGAGATCAAGACAAGAAGACTGACAACTTCTCAAGCCAGCGGTTAATAAAACCACTACATGAATAATGATAAATCAACTTCACAGCGATCTATTTCCCGTTATATACGAGCCCACGTGTCAATATTATATCATTCATTCTGTATAACAATACGAGATTTAAATACCCTATCTAGGCCACAGCAACCATCCATTAACATCCGGTATAACACGTGTTTTTTATATGTAACATGATTATTCATGTTATAATCTTATTGATACTTTCATATCGATTACTGGGTAATGTCCATTCCCTGTCAATATTATCTCAAATACATGTAATATTTCAATTTTCTGTCTTTTTAAAACTTTGTTTAAAAAAAAAAATATGACAGACTGTATACACTTCTTTATTTCAATTTTTACGTTTACGGTGAGTGTAACAATTTCTATATAAAATAATTATAACAAAAATTAGATAGTATTTAAAAAAAAATTCATACATTTTTCCTTTTGATTTTTAAAGATAGGTTGCCAGGCAACGAAACATACGCCCGCAGCAACTAAATCGTCCGGGCAGTCAACAAGGGTTGTCGCATATTTTTACTTTTTTCGGTAATTTATAATTACACTAAAATCTGATTAAGAGCAACTCACGAAGTAATTATCAGAAAACTATTAGAATTTGTTTGGTTTTTATAAAGTTCTGCCCCATACTAACGTTTTGTATGCAAAGCTTTTAATATCATGGATTTAACTGTTCAAGTCATAAAAATTCATTGAAAATCAATATACTTGTTCGTCTCAAGATCTTAAACTCTGTGTATCAATCTGAAGTCAATCGGATGATAACTTAAGGGCCATAACTTTGGCAGTAATTATCGGAAATCGTTGAAAATCAAGAGGAATCTTCGTCTCATGACCTCAAACACTGTGTATAAATTTAAACTCAATCGGATATTAACTTGAGCCTCAAGAGCATCCACAAGATTTTTTGAAGTGATCAAGGGCCATAACTCTGGCAGTAATTATCGGAAATCGCTGAAAATCAATAGGCTTCTTCGTCTCATGACCTTAAACACTGTGTATAAATTGAAAGTCAATCGGATATTAACTTTGGCCTCTAGAGCATCCACAAGATTTTTCAAAGTGATCAAGGGCCATAACTCTGGCCGCAAATATTGGAAATCGCTGAAAATCAATAGGCTTCTTCGTCTCATGACCTTAAACACTGTGTATAAATTTAAAGTCAATCGAATATTAACTTTCGCTTCTAGAGCATCCACAAGATTTTTCAGAGTGATCAAGGGCCATAACTCTGGCAGTAATTATCAGAAATCGCTGAAAACCAATAGGCTTCATCATCTTATGACCTTAAACACTGTGTAT